TTGCATGTGAAATTGGAAGAGATACACATTTATTCCTGTCTGGGAAAGGAATCTCCTAGTCAGAGGCGACGGATAATTCAGGTTGTTTGAGGATGCTTGGGGCTTAATCCAAGACTAGACTTGGAAGAATTAATTGGGTGGGGAAAAAAGGGCTTGGGGGRAAAAAAAGACGTTGGGGGAAAGAAAAAAGGGCTTGGGGAGAAAAGGAAGAGGGTGGGGGAAAAACGAAGGGGTTAGGGAAAGCAGAACAATTTTAACTGATATTTACAGAAACTCAACAATGCACCTCCTTTCCGGGATCACAGAATTCTCAGGGCAAACCCTGAAGGTCCAAGGCAGGAATTTCAAGGAATTGCCATGAATTAGAGCTGAAGGGCCTTGATAGACCACCAAATATGAGGTTGCAAAGTGCCTGGAAGAGAAACCTCCCAGTGACCACGAACCTGAARCCTCAGTGTGAACTATTCCTCGCTTCCCTCTCTTCAGCCTTGTCCTATCCCATCTCAGGGTTTTTTCCTCAGCTGATTTTCAGGTCTGCTCACAAGGATTTCACAGAGGGAAGGATTCGCTGAAAATGCCAGCACACACATGATTAAACACCAATCCGCACCGCGTTCCCGTGTCTGCCTGCTGCTCATCCCTGCACCACATCCCTTCATTCCTGGACACTGAACCATCTCCAGGTGCTAATTACCCCTGCTGCTAATTAATCAGGGTGTTTGCCTCTCCTGTTAATGCTCTGATGGCCAGACATGCAGTGAAGCACCCCAGGAGCAGGGCTGAGGATGGGCTGGCAGCGTTTCAGGGGTGTGGGTTGGGTGTCCTGAGATGTTCTTCAGAAATACTGGCCAGGGTTCAGGCACACACAGCAAGAAAAATGGGAGAAAACTGCAAAATATCAAACTTGAATTTGCCTTCCAGGGTTCCAGACACGGAATTGGTGGGAGTGACCTTTCCTTCAGGATGTCTTGGCAACATTTCCCCTTACAACCCACATTTTCCCCCCTTATTTAAACTTCTATTCCAGCCTCAGCAGCAACTCAGAGCAGCTTCAGCATGAATCTCCACGGATATTTAAGAAAGAAATTTCAATTTATCTCCTTGTAAAGGCTCATTGCCTTCTCTGCTTCATGATTCAGATCTCAGAAAACCTCTCCTGACCCTCAMAAAAACAGATTTTGTGCTGGCACTTGCTGCCACCTAATGATAMGGAAACCAAGGCTTTGGGAGGAAAAAACCCTCAGAAGTGCAGCCAAAAAATGCCAGTGCAGGAGAGATTTGCAAACCTCTCACCTGGAAGGAAAGGGGCAGAGGGTCCCTGCAGGAGAAGCTGATGGAGGAGCGGCTGAGCAGCTGGGCTTTGCATCCAAACCTGGCTCAGACTGGCTCCAGCCAAAAGATGTCCCCACAGCACCACAGAAATGCTGTCCCARTCCTTCTGCAGCACCCTCAGCCCCAGGATGGGATTAGCCCAGCCCTGAGCTCTGCCCCTCCAGGACACAAACCCTCCCCAGGACAGCACAGGGCACACAGCTCAGAGCCTTCCTCCCATTCCTGCTGGGAAGTGGAGCTCCCAGCTGCGGGAAATCCCATTTTTAATTCGGATTTTGCTCACTGTTTCCTTCTTGATAGGAAGAAAGAACCTGTCCTGGGTAATTGTGTGTAAGTGCAGAGTTCWGGCTGCTGAGGGAGCAGAATTCTGGTGAGCAAAGAGTTCCTGAGGRATCCTCAGATGGTTCTGTCAGTCCCTGAAATATCCACATTGATTCAGGAGCCAGCCCAGAGGAGCAGACCCACACCCCATACCCCAATGCTGCCCCTTCACTCCATCCCCCTGCAGATTCCTCCCAAAGCACAGCTGACAGCACCGCTCCAAGGAGTCCTGGATAATTCCATAAAACCCCCCAAAAAATCCACAAAAACAGAGGTAAATTCAACTCCTTCAGATGAATAGAGAAAAACTTGTGTTTACCTGGACACAGAGCTCAAACGACACCCAACAGGCCAGTGATGGATAGCAGGGTCAGCCCAGACCAGGCGATAAATGCACGATAAGAACATACCTGGATTTGGGAACATCTGCTGGAAAACGTCCTTTAATTCTAACAATTTCACCTGAGTCATCCACGTAATTAAGAGTTTTCAATCAGCAGCAGCACTGTCATAATCAGAGCAGTGTTACAATTGAACCTGCAGGRGTGGGGTGGATAATTCAGGAATTTTGGTGGGCTGAGCTTGGCAAGGTGGGAATAACTGAGGAAAACCTGCATGTTCCGTGAGCCCAACACCTGCAACAATTTTACCAATTTCAGTGATACCATGGCCTCAGAGAAAACTAAGAAACACATAAAAAAAACCCAAATTCCAGAAGTAACAGTGCCAGAGAACTGGTTGAGATAAAAAGCTTGASTGTTCCTTAGGGGAAGGGGAAAGACAGACCCCAGACCCCATAACCCCCACATTCCCAAGCTCTAGAGCCACCCACAACTCCCCCCTCCGCACCTCTTTCCAGCTTCTTCCCAAAAAATCAGCTTCTCCCTTCCTTCCCTCTCTCATATCACTTCCCTCTCCTTCCCCATCACGGTCCCTGTGTGCTGCCAATTACTTTTAATTAACCCAATTAGCTGACAGCTTCCACCAGCTGCACTTTCCCCTTCTGCTCCCTGGCAGCTGAGATTGTTAAAGGGGAAACTCAGGTGTAGGGGAGGAGGAAAGTGAGGAGCAATTTGTGCCTCAAGAACCCAAACAGTTTTCTGTGAAAACCCAGGAAAAAAAAGCCTGGTAAACAAGCAGAGCCTTTGGAGCATAACCTGGGCTGCTTTGCTGGAAATAATTTCTAAAAACAAGCATTAAAGATGAAAAGTTGATTATTGAAGTGTCGCTCGCAGAACAGCCGGGCCTCCRTGCTCCTGTGGCCTTCACGGCCTGCTCTGCCCCGTTAGGAAATTCACCCTCCCCACAGGAAGGAAAAAGGAGGTTTTTAGGAATCGGAGGAGTGTTGAATAAGTCAGGTTTTGAGAGCACAGAGAGCACAGCCATCAGCAGCAGGGGATGCCCAGAGCCCAGGGCAGACGGGCACAGGGCAGCGCCAGCCTGGGCACAGCTTTGCTCCGGCAGCAGCGCCCATCCCGAGCMCGGGGTGTGAGAGATGGCACAGAAATCCCTCATCTGCCTCACAAACTCCAATGAGGACAGAGACTGAAGACACCCAAAAACCCCAAGGGGGGAAGGGGGACTTTTTCTCCAAGAAGTCCTGGCCAGATTGCGGTGGGATGTCTGCCAAGTGCCGGTGCCCAGGCTGCTGAGAACAAGGTGTAAACCACGGTAGATTGTGTTGTTCTTGCTGTGATAGTCTAGGAGAACTGCACAGGATAATTCATACTGTACACCTGACAAAACAATGGGCCTTATTCCCCACCTCCTGGCCAGTTTTCCCCCGCATCTGCACATTTTGGCCAATTGCCCCTCACTTTTGAAAAGACTACAAGTACTCCCCACAGACAAAGATGAATCTATTGGATCTGGACCACGAGGAAGGATTTCGTCTGTGCCGTTGGTAGCTTTAACTCCTCTCTCTCTCTCTCTCTCTCTCTCTCTCTCTTTCTCTCTCCTTTTCTCCTTCTCACTCTCTTCTATCGCATAAATCATGCTGTTGGCACTCAATAAAAGTGCTTTTGATTTTGAATAAATACTTGTCCCTGTTTCTTTTGCACTCTGAGATTCAGTTAATGAACCACCATGACCCCCACTTGTATTGAGTGGATCATGGCACAGGGGCTGTCCTGGCTGCTGTGGGGTCACTCTGTGCCCCAAGGACAGCCCCAGGAATGGGGGCTGCACCTCTGGGTACTTCCCTGAGTGCCAAGGGAGTGACACTGAAGCCAGGCCAGGCACAATCCTCAGGTTGTGACAAACCCTCCACTGATCACAAAATACCTTCACCTTCCYRCAGGAGRRACCACAGCCCMCYCTGAGCCCCACCTRTGGCTCYGGGACCTTGGTGGAGAGAAAGCTCMACTGCRGTCAGAAATATTTATGACCCGTTGGGACCTCCAAAAATGTAAATTCTTAGATTTTGGAGTGGGTTTTCTTGCTGTCAGTTCAATTTTTTCATTGTTTATAACCCAATCTGTGGTCCCAGTTCTGGAAGCATTTCTCTCCCAGTATCGTTTTCCCGTGGGGCTGAGGTTTGGGTCCCTCTGAGGGATCCCAGCAGGCACAAAAAGATGGTTCTGTGCCTTCCTAAATCCATGTGCCTTCCTAAATCCAGCTTCTTCCCAAATCCACCTTCCTTCCTAAATTCAGTTTTCTTCTCAAATCTATCTTTCTTTCTAAATCCAGTTTCCTTCCTAAATCCACCTTCCTTCCCAAATCCATCTTCCTTCCCAAACCCACCTTCCTTCCCTAAATCCAGCTCCTTCCCAAATCCTGCTTTCTTCCTAAATCCACCTTTCTTCTCAAATCCAGCTTCCTTCCCAAATCTAGCTTCTTCCCAAACCCACCTTCTTTCCTAAATTCACTATTCTTCCAAAATCCACTTTTCTTTCTAAATCCAGTTTCCTTCCTAAATCCACCTTCCTTCCTCCCCAAATCCAGCTCCTTCCCAAACCCACCTTCCTTCCCAAATCCACCTTCCTTTCTAAATCGTTTCCTTCCCAAATCCAGCTTCTTCCCAAATCCTGCTTTCTTCCTAAATCCACCTTTCTTCTCAAATCCAGCTTCCTTCCCAAATCTAGCTTCCTTCCTAAATCTATGTGCCTACCTAAATCCATGTGCCTTCCCAAATCCAGCTTCCTTCCCAAATCCAGCTTCCTTCCCAAATCCACCTTCCTTCCCAAACCCACCTTCTTTCCCAAATCCACCTTTTTTTCCCAATGTCCTGTCCTGAGCCCCTCACAAGGCAGACAGGACTGACAGAATCTCGAGTCCCCTGGCAAGTTTCCACCTTGGCACACACAGAACAAACCCCTACAAAGAAGAGGAAGTAAAAATGAAACAGCTCTATTAGGGTTTAATGAAGTGACTTGAGACAAAGCAGTTCCATGAAAATGCGTTTTTAGGAAGTAACAGCRAGAGCTCAGAGAAATGCTGCCTGCAGGTACAGTTCTAGCTGATATTAAGATACACTCAGTGACTTTGAGGGAAATACTTCCTCGGGACGAGGCCAGGAGCCGCTTCTGTTCCCAACAGCTCCAGGTGCTGGTGTCTGAGCTCCGCTGGGGTGGAGTGGCAGAGAAGGCAGCAGCTTTTAGGACGTTTCTTCTGGGCTGGCTCTTGTCTCTTCCCCCAAATCCTGTGCAGTGCAGGATGCTGGTCCTCCACAGGGTTCTCATACAACCATCAAATAACAAAAACAGGGCACGAAGAATTGTCCAGAACAAATAATAGTGTTTGGAATATTATCAGGTAAAAAAATAACCAACCATCCTAAGGCAGAGTTTAGGGGTTTGAGAGTGGGGTATCTGCACAGCTCCTGGAGCAGCCAGCCAGCAGCTGGATCCATGTACAAAACCAGCTGTAAATCCAGGGGGTCAGGACCCGTTAAATCCAGGGGGTCAGAACCCGTTAAATCCAGGGTCCTGGGCAGGACAAACCCAGCCCTGCTCCCTTTGTGACACCGAGGGGTCACAGTGTCCCTGGCTGAATCCCCCCTGCACCCTACAGAGATATGGGGCTGTCCTGTAACTCCTGCACCACACAGAAATATGGGGCTGTCCTGTAACTCCTGCACCCTACAGAGATATGGGACTGTCCTGTAACTCCTGCACCACACAGAGATATGGGGCTGTCCTGTAACTTCTGCACCCTACAGAGATACAGGATTATCCTGGGGCTCCTGCAGGGATAAAGGACCATAAATCCAATGTTTGCTGAAGAAATTCCTACTCTGGCTGCAGTGCAAGCCCCGATCCCAGCGGGGCAGAGGAACCAGTGCCTGCTCTGAGGGTGCTCAGAACAGATTTTGGAGAGGAATCAGAACATCCCGAGCTGGAAGGGACCCACGAGGAGCACCCAGGCCAGCTCCTGGCCCTGCACAGGACACACCTGCAGGATCCTGGATTCYTTTGGAGGGGGTGAGCTGTACAGACAGACAAAGGCAGAGACAGAGGGTGACACACAGAGCCCTCGACCTGCTCCTCCTCGCTCTGAACATCTCCAGCTCCAGGAAATATCCTTGACCTCCTGCAGTGGGAGCACAGACACGCAGGGGTCACTCCAGGGSGTGGCCAAAATGCAGGACAGGTCACCCACCGAGGAGAAGGGCAAGGTTTGGGAGGTTTCCTGAGGAGCACATCCTCTCAGGGACCAGGAACTCACAGCAGCAAAATTCAGAGCCCTTMAGAACCAGCCTCTACCCCATCTCCAGGAAAAGGGACTCGGCAGAGGGCCCGTCCCTCCTCATTTCAGCCCTGGTGACACCAGGGGAGCGTGGAGGGAACATTGGGAGCAGCAGCGTCACCAAACCCGCCCTGGAAGGAGATTTCTTCCCAAGCAAAGCCAGGCTGGGTCCTGTGTGCACACACACAGCTGGGATGAAACTTCAGCTTCTGAAACATTACAGCTTAGAAGGTCCACACAACATCAGCACACCTGCCACAAAATCCAAGTAGAAAAGTTTTACAGCACATTATACAGGTCCCTCTAAGGTCTAAAAAAAACCAAAAAAACATCGACTGAAATCACCATATTACAGGAAGTCATTGCTAACAGGCCATATAATACTAATTTCTTTTTCTTTTACAGAATCATTACGTACAGAGTAATTTTAAAAAATCACTTTTTAAACAAGTATACAATTTTCACTTTAAAATTAACTGGTTAATAAAATTCTGTGCAAAACAAGCCAGCCTCTATAATTAAGTGAATTTATTTATTTCTTTATACAAAAAAAAAAAATAAAACAACAAAAAAACCAAACAAAAAAAAGAGTTCTTTCAGAAATGTGTCTCCTTTTCTGTGATGGTGGAAATGGTGCCATCTCCTTTCAGTTTGGCATCGCAGTCATTTATTGCTGCAATGTAGGCTCCTCCTCCGAGCTTGCCCCGCATTTTYAGGTCTGAGCTCGGTGTAATCAACTTCCTGAATTTCTAGAAAATTGGAGAAATGGGGAATCATTACGTTTTTCCTGCTGACAGACACATTTCTTATAAACAGATTGATTATGAAAGAATCTTCTCCTTGCACGTCTGCTTCTCAACTCCCCGCTGTGGGCACACCCTCAGACCTGAAGGCCACGCAGCTCTGCATAAATCCCCCCAGAGCAAAGAAGGCAAAGAAGGCAAAGCTCAAAAGTGAATTTTCCTGCTGATCTAAACCATTCCCTTCCATGAAGACACTCAGCTCTGTACCAGTTCCACAGGTACATTTTGATTCTTATGTTATCATCAATGGATGTCCACTGGATAAACTGAATAAATCAGAGACAGCCAATTGAGCTGTGATAAAAAAAAAAATATCCACGTTCAGGTGAGAGTTGTCTCTTTTCTAGCAATGCCATCCAGCAGGAATTTGGCTCCCTGAGGAGCTCCCAGCTGTGATTAAAACAATCCTCTTGTCATCCTTGTAGGGAAAAGATAACGCCCCATGTGCAGTGCTGCAGCTGCAGCAGAGTCTGCTCACCTGCAGGGACAGGCAAGGCTGGTGCAGTAAGGAAATATTTAATGTTTAGAGCTGTGCAAACTTCCTTTTTCTGACTCTCTAAGAAAAATATCTCATGGACAATTCACTTTTAGTTCATATAGCCAGTGAAGATTTCCCAGGTAGGCTCCAGGCTGTTTAATCAGCTGGATGGAGTTGTGGCAATATGGGCACAACGAGGTTTTTCTGTTGAAACCCCAAAGGGTTGAATAAGGTTTGTATTCCTGTTTCTTTCATTATTTCTTCCTTCACTGCCTTTCTTTGGGGCTCTCACAGAAACGGGCARCCTTCCAAGTTTAAATTTGATCATCTGAGCCTCAGCCTAGACCTGAGCTAACCTGACACCAAATGTCAGAAAACTCTGCTGAATCTCTTTATTTGCCTGTGTTTCTCACTTAGAGAACTGAAATCAGGAGAACTGTCCAGAAAACACACATAGATGTTGGCAACCCAGCTCCTGGAGGAAAACCCAGGCAGCACAAACCAGAGCTGTGGAAAAAGGCAGCTGACCTGAGGAAATGACTGGGACAAACCTTGAGGGATCTGGGTGATGTTACACWCATTTTAAGCTACAAATTGAGCTGGGACAGAGCTCCTTAAATCAATAGTTTTGGTGAGTTTACTACAGGCTGAAATCACTGGCGGCAAAAAAATAAAACCCCAATGGGGATTCAGAAGAAAATGACATTCAGATCCCTCTTTGCAGCAGTGACTGAGAGCCCTAAGCCAGGGAACAGGGACATGGCTGCTGTGATTAAAGGGAGCAGCTGAGGATTCCCACTGCCTTCCCAGCACCACTGATCTGCAAACTGCTCTCACCTCCATGAAAGTGCCCTCAGTCTTCCAGAGCTTGATGCAGATCCAGAGCGGGATGCAGACCATGGAGGAGAGYGCCATCATCCAGCCGATGCCGTAGCCCCAGTCGGGGTAGATGTACACGTTGTTATATTTCAGGGGCTTGTACTTCACCAGGAAAAAGATGAAGATTCCCTGAAAGCAGCAGAGACCTCATCAGAGGGATTTGAACAGATTCTGCCCCTGTGACAAGGGCCTGACTGAGTGTTCAGAACAGGGAAAGCAGAGGGAAGCTCTTCCCTTGGAGCAAAAACCCACCAGCACCATCCTCTGTTCTGCACAGCTTAAATAACACATCTCACAGGCTCCTGCAGGAACCAACAACCTTTCAAGTTTAATCCTATTTACCTCTTGATGACAATAAACCCTGCACTTTGATGGCAAACAGCACCTGGGCAGGGAAGATTAAGTTTTGCTACAGCAAACCAGCGGTGATTAAGGAACACAAGCTGCGCTCTCTCCAATCTGTCACCATGAAAAAGGAAAGCTAAAATTTTTGAAGCTGCCTTAATCCACTGTGTGTATCTGCAGTTTTGCAGGCCAGCCCTTTCATCCTGCCAAAAGCTCTACAAAATCTGTCTAAATTTCTGATCGAGCAGCTTGGGCCATTTCAATTTCTGGAATACGGAAAAGCTGCCAGGTCATTTTMTCYAAAGCRGTGAAACRAGTGTGCAAGAGCAAATGGAAMAGAGGTYATTTCATGGTGCAAATGTGCCTRAAATTTCCCCAAGTTTGCAAATGGGAACCTGGATTTCCAGGTGCCCCAGCTCCTGTGGTTTGCACCCTGTGGAAGGGGTGCTGGTATTTAATGCTCTGTTTTAAGGGCAAGCAGATCATGCTGCTTTTGGAATTTTGTCCCTGTGACACTGCCCCAGGTCTCCAGAATTGGCCCCAGCTTCCTACCCCTCCATCATGGGATGGGCTTTTTGCCTCTCCTAATACTTTGAAAAGTAAAAATGTCCTGCCTTGTTTGAAAAATGTCCACTGCCCCAAAGAGAGAGGACAAAGGAGGCTGGAGCAGCAAAGGACCCAGCACAAGTCTGGAGGAACTAGAGTTGTGTGCAGGGAAAAACATATCTCTTTTGCTGACAAGTTTTCATTTAGGGTCCTGGCATTATTTTTTCCCTGTTTTTATAGTACATAGTAATAATTTTCACAGAACATTAAACAACTTTTACAGATCTACTGAGTGATTTTATTTGAAATACACGCTACAAGTTAATGGCATTTTTCTCAACTATTAGGAAGAGCAAAATTATAAACAGAAACCCCTTTTCATGTCTAAACCAAGTGATTTGGATATTCTGTACTTACTGCACAAATACCTGGAGTGAGGACCATCCAGCACCATTTAATCAATGACACRGGTTTGTACCCAATCATGTCCTCGATGTTCTCATAAAAGCGATTGCTGCCTGCCCAAAACACAAAGGGAAAGCAGATATAGAGGGCACATGGAACAGGTCAGGAATTCCTGTGCAGGCCAGGAATTAAAGCAGTGAGAGAAAAGCACAGACACAGCTGGGAAGGCTGGAGCTGCTGCCTCTTTCCCYGGAAAACACTTTCTTTCCATCCGCCCCATGCTCGTTGATATAAAATTAAATTAAATTATATTAAATAAAATTGGCAGGGGTTGATATCAAATTTCTGCTGCTATAAAAGCTTCTGTCCAACTGCCTTCACTTCATACAGATCATCTCATCAGAGAGGGAGATTTGATTAGCGTGGCACGAGCTGTCACTTAGATATTAACATTTCATTTTGTCCTACTCTCCACGTTCTTCCTAAATATCTTTAGTTTTCTCTTCCTTCAAAGCTTGTATAAACCTAATCTATTCTGCTGAGCTGATTTATTCTCTTAGCTGTGGAATCAGTTTGTAAACAACCCAAATTAAAGGGAGTCTATTCTATAAATAAATAKATTTAGGTACTACAAGCTCACGTGTGAATCCATGGAGAGCTGGGCATGTGTGTGCAATTCAGATGTTTTTGACAAAGTGAAATTGTGTATCCTTGTGGGAAAAAAGGCATTTCTGACTTTTGGGGGGGGGAGCACAGGAACATGGAGGGTCTCCCTTTCTAAGGGTACAAGGCTTTCTCTCTGATTTTCTACAAACAGCAAGCTTTGACAGAAGAGCAGAGCCATTTGCAGGCACTCACCGTACACCCAGCCTATGCAGACACACTCAAAKATGGCAACAAAGAGAAGGCACATCCCACTGGCTGCGTAGGAGTCAAAGAGCTGAAACACGTACATCCCACCCTGCGAGRGAAAACAGGAAAGGGGAAAAATATTGGGTTGGCACCAGCGGGAATATCTCATAGCAAATCTGGTTTAATTACACAGTCAATCTGTTGGCTCCCTGGCAAGATTCCTACTCAAGAATATTTATTTCTAGGGTTTTTTTTTTTTTTTTACTCTGCATTTGCTTTAGGGTGGTAGATCTGGAGTGAGGTAAATTAGATTTTTTTGAAAAATGCTCTCCAACCTCCCCGCTTTTACCTCCATTTGTTATCACATGAAGCTGTGGGTATTCCCAGGTGCTTCTGACCTCCAGATCTTGGTTCTGTGCTGTGCTATTCATTGGTAAAATAATCAGTTAAAATTTGGGGGAGGAAGGCAAGATATGTAACCACGAAGGCAAGATGTGTAACCATCAGAATCCCTCTCATTGGTCTGGGAACTGTAAAATGAAAAAAGTGACCATAAACTGTGAGTGCAGCTCATGGCCTTTGAGCCACTTGACTGGAACAAATCTTTCTTATTTGACAGAAAGAAAAACAAATAAGAATCATCCAAACAATAACATTATGGTTAATCTGACTATGAAATTTATATGAATTATATTACTACATTTTTTGAATGCTCAATCTTTTATCACACGCATTTAATATTGAAATAATAAGGAGGGGAGCTCACAAAAGAGTATTTCAATGGAAAGGAGCTCTAAGGAAGGAAATAGGGGCTTGAGACGAGCCCCTCCGTTGGAATGCAATGGTTTTTGGGGAGCAATGTGGCCCGTTACATCTTGATTTTCTGCAGATGGAAGAGAACCCTGAGAATATGAATAAAAACTAAATCCCTACTGCAAAGTGCCCATGGTGAGGCTGAGCAAAATGCAAATTTAGAAATCAAGCGACTAGGATAGTGCAAGGTAAGGACAACCAAACTCCTGCAAGGATATTCCTGCCAGCTTGGAGAACTTGCACCCCTTCACTCTTCATGTTTATATTTATTTTAGCCTGTCTATCTCCATAATAAATCTCTCAGTGCTCTGCCCAACACATGCACTGTGGAGGGGTTTTTCCAAGTTTTCCCATTTTGCACAGCCAAGGTGATTTATCTCACYGCTTGGCTGCTGCAGAGCAGGAGGAATTTTCTTGGCTTTGCTGTGTATTTCTGATTAAAACATTTCCTGAGCTCAAATGAAAAAACAAGGACACTTTTGACACGTTACACAGGAGCTGAGAACAGGCTCTCAGGTATTTTGGTGTGATATTCCTGACAGGGAGATTTGTCTGTGGCAGAGGTTCTCGTCTTTTGTCTGCTGTGATGATAAACTTGCCTGGTTTATTTTTTTTTTTTTCCTGGGAACAAGGCAGCTCTTACCTCAGTTAACATGATGAGGCCGAGGAAGTAGGACACGATGGAGAGGCCGAGGATGAGCAGCTCCCTGCGGTARCCCCTGCGGAACACCTTGGGGTACATGTCCACCACGGCGGTCACAATGCTTTCCACACACACAAACTGCAGCAAAGACAGAAAAACACCACTGAAATCGGGGTCTGCTCTGCTGCTGAGCTTGGATTTGCCACCAAACACCTCAAATATCCCCCTAGGATTTCATCAGAGGGAGTGGATGATCTCTGGGGACACCCCATAAGGAGAAGCTCAAACTGAGAGAATGTCTCAGAATGAAAAATACAAAGTTATGGATTTCCACCAATTTCAAACAGTTAAATTCACTAATATTAACTCAGAGTGCATTTTCCCTGTAGTAGGTGGATTAAATAAAAATTAAATCTTTCAAATTCAGTTCTAATAGGAATTAAATAATGTACAAACCCTCCATGGGGTCATGTCACTCCAAGCATCCTGCACTTTTGGCACTTTTRCCATGGCCCCTCCAAGCTGCTAAAGGAACAGCAGTGTTTGAGAGAAGTTCTCTCCGTTTGCCAGAAAAGAGAAGTTCCCCAGAGCTGCTGAGTGCCCAAGCCAGGCACTTCTAAGGAAGGAGGGCAGGAACACRTTCATTGTATTTAAACATTAGCAGAAAGGAAAAGGCCTGAGCTTCTGAATCAGGGCYCTGGAGCAAGGTTTCTAAAATAGAGCCCAAATTAATGTTAAAAAATAGGCATTGGAATAGGCCAGAGCAGAATCCAGAAATGCTCATTTAGGAAAAAAAAAAAAAAAAAAAAAAGAAAAAAGAAAAAAGAATACTTTTAAAAATCTGTTAGATCACGAAAAAGAGCAGTTATTAAAACATTAGGTTTAATGATTGGAAATGTCATGCAGAACAAGCACTGCTGAGCTTTATTCTACAGCATAGACTCATCAACTTTTGGAACCCAATCATGCCAGGAGCTGAGCTGCATGTTAAAATCCCAGCCACTTCACATTTTATTCAAACAGCTTTTGCAATTTCTACAGTCACACGGGGACAACAGTTCTGTGCTGCCCCTTTGCTGCAGGACGTGACTGCACACTTCTCGCTGTGATATCTCACAGTAAAAATACACCACGGAAAATTACATTATCACTATCTGATATTCAGCTTCAAAATCCATTGCACAGTGCTTCAGAAACTGGCAAAGACGAGCTGGTGTTTTACTGAAGCGTGGATTTTAATCAAGTTTGGACTGATTTCCATGTTAATAATGAACCAGCCCTTGCAGAGAATCATAAAGGAATCCCAGCATCACTAAGATTTAAAATGGGGCCTTGAATGGAAGCTCTCAGGCAAGGAGTTAAATTAGGGGCCAGTCTCTCACCAGGTTGGTGCTGTTCAGGTGGGATTTCCCTGACCAAGCACTGAAATAGGGTTGGTTCTGTACCTGACTGTCCAGTCCCAGGAATATGAGCATCATGAAGAACAGAGCTGCCCACAGAGGAGACAGAGGCATCATGGTGACAGCTTTAGGGTAAGCAATGAATGCCAGCCCTGGGCCTGGAAAGGAATGAAGGAAGGAAAGGTTTATACTCGTGTGGGATTTGGGATGGAGTTCAGCTGCTCCAGAGCAGCCTGAGCTGCGGGACAGCAGCAGCACATACTGAACTATTTGAGCTGGAAACACCAATTTTCTCACTTTTCCTGCTCCCTGCCCCATCCCCCTGTGCAAGGAGAGTGAAGAGCAGTGTGGATGTTCAGCTGCTGCTGAGGGTGAGCCCACCACAGCCAGATCCTTCTTTAGGGCACTTGAGAGGAGCTAAACCCAAGACTGAAAACCTTGACAAACTCCACATCTCTCATAGTCTGAACAACTGGTGCTGAGGGTTCTCAGACACGGAGACTTGCTTGGCACAGCTGTGCCTGATCCTGGCCAAAGGATAGCCAGCTCCTGTTCAGACATCCCAGAGCTTTATTTCCCCTTTTTGTGTGGATGTGCAGCACTACAAACATCCCTSAATAAATCAGTGTGTTCCTGGGATTGCCTTACATCCTAAAATTCTTTTTTCCCCTAACCTGGTGCAAGGCAAACGTTGGTTCCCACCCCTCTCTGTGGTTTTGGGGCTGCTGCTGCTGTGTGACAGTGGCTGCATGTTTACAGAAATAATCAAAACACAACATTTTTTGTAACAGCAATGATAACTTATCAGACCTGCTAAGATTCTTTTTCACCTTGATCATGTTTTTATTTATCTGTGCTCATTCTCAGCTGCTCTTTATGAAGCCAGCAGCTTCCAAAGCATGCTCAAAGGCATATTCCAGCCAATAATGGAAAACTCTGTGCTCCTTCTGCAATAACTTCAGCGAAAAGCTGTCACACACTGCTGCTTCTCCATTTAATGCAGCATTTACAACTTCCTATAATTTCCTATCATTAAATATAAGCCAATGGTATCGAGGGCTTTAGGAAAAGAGAAATATTTTCCATCASACATCAGTGAAACTCTGTCTGTTTTGCAGTTTTCCTGGGCCTGACTCCATAAGAGCCATTTCTCCTCCTCAGCAGCTCAGCATTCCTCTGCTTTTCTTTCTGGGCAACCTCCTGTCCTTTTCCTTCTGCKTAAAAAAGTGTGGAGTGATTCCATTGGATGCCCAGCTCCACATGGTGGCTGATGGGTGATTTTTCATCAATCTGGGCCTGCGTGCCCTTCTGCTTTCTCATTTTAACAGCAACAGCTTTTTTGGTTTGTTTGTTTGGTTTTTTTTAATACCCTATTTTATTTTTTTTCCAGAAGGAACAAACACCTGTGGATTTCAGTCTTTCTCTCTGAAAGAAGACAGAATGCAGATGAGGATTAGCTCCCAACTGAGTTTATCTTTGCTGAAAATGCTGAAAAACATTCTGGATGTTCRGCTGGAGTAAGTTTGTGTAGCAGAAGCTCTTTGGTTTGATGAATTTGGTTTTATGCACAGCAACATGCATATTTTTCACACACAAATGTATAATATAGAAATATTTTAGAGCTCTTCCTGCAGCAGCTATTCCATGGAGTCATTTCATCCCCAGGCCATGGCACAGACTGAGAGCTCTGACCACAACCTCTGAGCATTTTTTGTGAACTCCCAAAACTGCTTTTGGGGCTTACCTGACTCTGCAACTTCTGCAATGGGCACGCCTTGCTCATAGGCCATAAATCCAAGAACTGAAAAGATAGCAAAACCAGCAACAAAGCTTGTGCCACTGTTCAAGCAGCAGAGCATGATGCAGTCTCTGAAAATATAAATAGAAAACACTGCAGTTGATCTCCAGAGCTGGGGTTCCTTTCATCCGCTGAGCCAGAGGATTGGCAGAACCCTGGGCTGCAGGAATGGACAGCAAGTTGTTCATTAGCAGTAAATTCCCAACTCCAATTATTCCTGAGAGCCACCAGGAATGAGCACGTGCAGGAGGACGCCACCATCGTACCCTTGCTTGTGTTTGAAACAGCAAATTTGCTATTTTCCAACAGAATATTCCAACCATGCAAAACTGTTGTCAGAATGGTGCTAAGAACAATTTCTCAATAATAATAATAATAATAATAATAATAATAATAATAATAATAATAATAATAATTTAATTCCACTCAATAATAATAATTTCTCCACAGTAATAATATATTCCAGAGGGTGTGAACTCATTTATAAACTCTGTAAAAATGGGATAGTTTGTTTCCTGGGGGGAAAAAATATCATGTGGTCAGATCTTAGCTCCTTCTATCCCAGTTATGGAATATTGGTGAATATGTCCACACAAAACACAGCTCCAGGTTGGTTTAGAGGCACATTAAAGAGGCTGTGGGAATGAAAAGCACTGCACATAACCTAGGGAAGGTGTGCGTGCCTAAAAAAGTGTCTAACGAGGGGCAGAGGCCATGCAGGGACAGCGATCTCTCAGACTTTAAACCGTGCCAAGGCTGAGGCAAGGGCAGGGTGGATTTCTTTGGCCAGACTGGAAATGTCACAATGGTAAATGGCCTCAGAGAGAGGACAGATCCTGTGGAGGAAGGTGTGATTTGCCCCGAGCCCAGGGCAGTGTCGCTGCTGGTGCTGCTCTCTGCCATCTCTCCAGCTGACAGTGAGGAGGTGGTGGTGGGGATTTCTCCTGACAGCCAGATTGGTGTGCTGGGGACACCAATCACTGACCCCAGAGTCTGACAGCAAACTGGGGTTGGACCCTCTGAAACACAGCCCATCCCTCAGACGCTATATCCCCGTCCCACTGCGGCTCTGAAGCACAAGTGGGGAAATTTTCATGAGAAGAAAGGAGCCTGGAAAACCTGACAGGTCTGAATCCAGTTCAATAACTCAGTAATCGTTCATAGATTCAGTGCTGAGGATCAGAGACCATTCCTGCTTTAAACTCCTGGCATCTGTTCCTGCAAAACTCCTCTGCTGATCTCRCTGTTCTGCACTTTGTCCCATGCTGTAACATCACCTCACTGATTTATGGAGCTGGAAGTGAGGTGACCATTGCCAGCCTCCTGTTCCTCCCCTGCAGAGCCCTGTGCTGTCCCCAAATCTGCCCAAAGCCCTTCTGACACCTTGGGACTCACCTGAGCCCYGGGCACACGCATTCCCCTGACATTGCTGAGCTGCAAAGGGCCTGGGAGGCTTTGGCTCATCCCCTCAGCTCCAGGTAATCCTAACTATTCTTTTGGGAAGCTTTTCTGTTTGCACAAGAATTTCAGAGTAAAAATAATCCCTGTGGCACATTATCTACAGATTGCTAAAAAAATGTCCAGCGATGAAAAAGAGTGAATATTCCCATTTGTAATGAGGACTCAGACATGGACAAGGGCAGTGATTTCACACTTCYTTCACGCCTGGACTCTCCCTAACACTGCTCATTTGCAGTGAAATACTTGCTGAAAATAGAATTGTAACCTTTATTTATTTGCTCTTATATGAAATTTTTTCCTGCAGTTATGCCCAGCCAGGCCAGTTCTCCACTTTGGATGTTTCACAGMAAACAGCAATCCAAAAGGAAGGCCTGAGGAGCACGGAGTCCTTTGTGCTCTGCAGAGAAATCAAACGGTGGAGCAGCACCTTGCTGACCTTCTCAGTGCATTTCAGCTCTGAGTGACTCTGGAGGGACTCTCAGCCCGCCCCTCTCACCTCAGGGACTGCAGAGTTCAACACTGAGAAATTAAAACTCAGTGTGATGGAGCCCTGTTGATAAGAAAGGTCAGAGAGATGAATTTTAGAATCCTCTGGTGGGGAAAGAGAGCTGCAGCTCTGGGGGATGCAGCCAGACATCCTGTTTTCCTCAGATAAGATTGGGTTTAGATAATTCCCAGCCCTCAAATGCACTCTGAACAACCAGACATTTCCTTCTGAGCAATGCCTGGCACAGGATATTTGAGAGCTGCTGGTCCCTGAATGTGAGGAAAAGGCTGGAGGCTCTGCAGGGTGAGCTGGACAATCCCAGGGGACACGGGGATCCAGGATCTGCATTCACAGGAAAGCTGCAAAGCACAGCACTGTGGTACAGATATCTGCAGGGCATGTAGACATTTCTCSAAGCAATGGGAAAAGGGAATTTTCATCCCCTCTTGCCAGGGAGGCACCTGCTCTTTGCAGGTAACACCACCCCAGCTGGATCACTGCATCCCCAGGGAGAGTCACAGACTGAACACAGCCCAATAAAATAAAAAATAAAAAAATAACCTCCAACTGCCCCTCCTCTGGCTTTGCAGGAATCCTACCAACCCCTCAGCTCCTGGTTTTATCCCAGAGGCAAATGTGTAACATGTGCTCCAGTCTTTTTTCTCTGCTGTGGGAAGGAAAGCTGGAAGGGAGATCTGGGTCCACTGATTGTGAAACCATGAGTTTTAAAACAGAGCTGCTTGAGAACATTGGAAGGACACCATGAATTCTTAATGTGCACCCTTGGCAGGAGGACATCAGAGCCTGACTGAAGCCCAGACTGATTTCGAGTGAAAGGAAAACTTCAAATTTTTATGAAAACTTCACATTCTTCCAAATTAAATTCCTGCCAATCACCTGAATAATTCAAGATGTGCATCACTTCTCTCCCTGCCTGGCAAACAGGACACTTCAGAAAATCCATCCTGCCTTCCTCAGAGAGCTCCTCAGAGCCCTTGGCATCCCTCCAGGTCCTTCCTGCCCTCTCTGGATCCCCTCAACACCCACTCCCATTTCTCTTTTCCTCCCAGACCACACAGGATTCATCTCCAGCTCTGAAAGGTTTTGTCCATGTGAGAATCCCTCCTTTATCTCCTGCTCCACAGTGGGAAGGGGGAGCTGACCCTGGATTTGTACCTGGGAAYGGATTTGGGATTCTGAGCTTGATGGAATTGAGGGGAACCATCAGAACACCGTCCTTTATTCCAGTGCCTGCTGACAGCACTGCTGCTGCTTTCACCTTCTCACACAAACCCTGGGATAGCCAGGGAGGAGCTGTATTTGTGTCTTGCAATGAAAGATGAKTAAGGACAATAAAAATTTCCACATTTCCTGTTCAAAGATGTGAAGTGACTTTTGCAGCTTGTTCATAATGTTAATGAGTTAAATCAGGTTTTAAATTCATAAGGCCCACAATGGAGGTCAGATTTTCCCATTTCCCACTGAAATACCTCTTGCCATTATTTTCCACTGCAATTTTCCCTTAGGAAAAAAAAAAAGAAGAGTAAAACAGAGCAGAGATGCAAACCCACAGGTTGATTTTATTTTTTGAAAGCCCTAGTTAGAATAGAAAATTGTGCTTCTCACAACTCTTGTTTCTGTCCTGTCCTGCTCAGCTCAGCCACGTTCTGCTGCTGCCCCACCCCTTCCCTCAGCCTCCTCAGGAATCACACATCAGGGCACATGAACATCCATTTCCTAGCTGGGAAATTTGGGAGATGTTTTTGGGAAATTGGGGAATTTTGGAAGATGTGAGGGGAATTGTGGAGGCTGGATGCAGTGAAAGGTGCTCTGCTGCTGCACCTCACCCGGGAGATTCTGAGCAGGGTCGTACAGCCTGGGGTCAGAGGGGAAGAAGGGAAATTACAGAATTACACAGCCAAACTCCTGCTTTTTATAACAGGTTACAGGAAAAAAAAAAATTCCTGCAGTCTTGAGGTAGTGGCAGATATTAGTTGGGGAAAGACTGGAAAGAAATATAACTAAAATTGAGTAAAAGAGGACAGTAGGGGTGCCTTTGCTAAAGCATCCCTTGTGCTAATTAGGGAAAARTTCATTACCAGCTGCTCTGTAGGGGCATCATTATCCTCAAGCAGCCCTAAAGGCTGGAGGGGACTCACACCACTCCCTGCAGCAAAACATTTTGTCTTGCTAAAACATGGAAAGAGGGAGGCATTCCCTAAAACTGTCTCCTGAACTTTCCAAGTAAAACCATAATTCAGAATTTAAATAATTTTTGGGGGTGGGGGTGGTTTGTTTGGGTTTCTTTCACTTTTGGGCTGTGTGAGGAAAATGAAATTTAGAGGAAAATGAAATTTTAATTCCCTGCCTGGAGACCACAATGGAGTCACTACAACCAAACTGTCCTTGGAGGAATGGCAGGAAAATTAATTCAACAGCTACTGATGCCAGAAGGAAAAGGGAGTGCTCATCTGGCTGCCCGTGCCAGTAACAGGGAATAGGGACTTTGTGAAAACCAGATCATTTGTGCAGGGATTCAGGAGAGATTAAACCTCCTGAAGGCGTTGGCAATTCCCTCCTGGGGAATGTAGAGATGAGCCATGAAATGCTGCCCAGTCCCTTTGTGCTCTGGGGAGGGGCATGCAAATTCCCCCCAAAAATGGGGAAAAGTGAAGTTCAGAATGTGGGAAGCATTGACATTTAGAGTGTGGACAAACTGAGATGAGTTTTAATGACAAGTCTTGATAGTGYTTTTCTTAAAGAGCAGCTTAAATAATGCCCACACTTGTGATCATACCTGTCTGAAATTCTCTATTTTTACATGAAATTTATATCCCTGCGTATCTCAGTGATAATTAATTCCATTTAGCATTCACAAATTTGGGAATTGACARTGTTTTATGGTTTCTATCAGCTCCCACACAGGGACTGTGCAAGGGTCAGATATAACCAAAAGGGATGAAAACACCACATTTGGGAGCAGAGTTCTTCTGGAGCAGCTCCAAGAAACCCTACAGATCTCTGTCCTACAAAAACACGTGGTCCTGGTTATTTGTGGAACAGCAAAAGGAAAAGGGAAGAGATTCCCAGTGAGGCTCAGCGTGTGGGCACTGCCACCCCGGCAGATCCCACCCCAAAGCTGCAGCTTTATACATGCTGCATTTCGCTATACATGCACCAGTTACCTGTAGCARTTGTTGTTGTAGTTGTTGTAGCTCCCCAGGGCTGTCAGGCACCCCAAGCAGATGGCATAGGAGAAGAAAATCTGGGTGCCAGCATCCACCCACACCTGGGGACAGAAAACAGGGAGGGTGTCACAAAATAGCGAGGGAGAGGACACAGGGAGAGTGTCAAAAACAGAGAGGGACAGAAAACGAGGAGAGCTTTAGAAAACAGCGAGGGACAGAAAACAGGGAGAGTGTCAAAAAACAGAGAGGGAGAGAAAACACGGAGGGTGTCACAGAGAGGGACAGGACACAGGGCGAGTGTCACAAAATAGTGAGGGACAGGACACAGGAAAACTTTATAAAGAAGCAAGGGACAGAAAACAGGGAGAGTGTCACAAAACAGTGAGGGATAGGAAACAGGGGGAGCTTTAGAAAAGAGCAAGGGACAGAACACAGGGAGGGCTACAGAAAACAGCGAGGGAAAAGACACAGGGAGGATGCCACTAAACAGCGAGGGACAGAAAACAGGGAAAGCTTCAGAAAACAGCAAAGGACAGAAAACAGAGAGCGTCTCACAAAACATTGAGGGACAGAAAACAGGGAGAACTTCAGAAAACATTGAGGGGAAATCACCCTCGGGCAAATGTGGGCTGCAGAATTCCAGAGGCGGCTCTGCAGGTTCACRGAGCCTGGCAAACCTTTGACAAATCCCAACCCTAACATAAAAATATGCTGTGAGTGAAATTCYCCTCCCCGTCCCAAGGGTGTAAATAAGGAGTAGCTCAGCTGGTGGTAACAGGCTCAGCATAAAGTAGAAAGTGGGACAGAATTCCTGGAGAAAAACCCCATCCATTAAACTCTTCAATGGCTTTTTTAGCTCTATATGGTGTCAGTGATTGCAGCCTAAACACAATCACCTGCATTTAGCTCACGGCATAGTTATCTATTCAAATTTAAATATTGAGAGTGAATAAATGGTCTAAAGACAAAATCTGCCTTTCCTAGRTAACACATCAACTCAGCTGGGGAAAGAGAAGGGGAAATTTATTCAGGGAAAAGATTTTTTCAGCAATATTTAATGGATCCAACAGGCACAAAGCCATGGGTCTGGTCAGTACACAGTCAACAAGTAAAAGTTCTGTGGAGCTTAGCAAGTCAGTGGTTTTGTAATGTCATTGTGCTAACATTGATATTCTGAARTGATGTACAATTTTAAATCAGAGAAAAAAAAAAGGAAGCAGGAGCTGATACAGTGGGGCTCTTCTCCTCAGAGCAACCTCAGAACACTAATGAGCAGGTTGATTTTACWGTAAAACTATTGCAACAAAGCAATTTATTTCACTTGGGCAGTCTGGGGTGTTCCCCTGAGCTGAAATAACCTTGAACTCCTGGTTTGTCCATGATGTGAAGAACACACGGCTGCACTGCTATTTCCAATCCCATCAAATCCCGCTCCTGTTTTCTGGCATAGGTGATGTTTCTGAGACCTTTGTTAAAGCAGAGCACTGAAGCACCAAACCAGAGCTGTGCAGCCATTCCCTGCTCAGGSTGAGCCAGGCAGGAACACGGGAACGATTTCAGAACTAATAAAAGCCATCAAATCCTCGTAAACACACAAAGGGGATGTGTTTGTTTTACACGTGATCAAGTGAGACCTTGCTCTCTGGAGCTGTTGAGTGTTTCTGTTTAGAAATAACATTAAGATCACATCTGATTTACATCAGTGGCTGAAAGGGTTTCATTGCTGTCACCCCGAATAAGACACAGCTGGTTACAYCCCACAGCCTCACCGTGGCTGAGGAGAAGCTGCACAGAGAGAGGCTGTTGACAGACAGGCTCCTTAACGAGACTGGAAGCTCCCAAAAAGCTGYAAGGAGCGAGGGTCAGCTGAAAATGCACCATCTTCTGGGGCCCAGACAAGAGCTGGGAAAGTGGATCGGAACATGGATCCTTCCCTTTCTGTGCCCCCACACCATCTCAGGGCAGGGGAAACACTTGAGCAGCACCAGCCCTTCCTGCTGGAACAGCTCCCCAGGGCTGATTATCCCTTGGAGTGCCAGTCCTGCTGGAACTGGGGGCAAAGGAGAGCGGTGCAGGAAGGGAGAAGCTCAGAGAGAAAAGCAGGTCCAATTCTGGCTGCAATTGATACAACTTCCTTCAAGGAAAATAAAGACTGGGACATCCCACAGGGATTCAGCCTAAAAAGTGGCAAACRCTCCATGAGGAACATCTTCTGCAGGGAAACATTCACATGTTCTGTCGAGGATTCGAGAGCCCTTCGTTTTTGTTGCACTATATGACATCAGCCTAGAAATTCCATCAGAACCYACAAACAGGAAGGGGGAAGCAATTTGATTTACTGAACAGAATAACAGAATTTGATTTACTGAATGGAATAACAGAATTTTATTTACTGAGTGGGATAATAGAATCAGCGCMGTTTCTTTTGGTTTGTACACTCAGGGGATCAGCGAGGTTGAATTTGTGATCACCATTAATATTCCAGTTTCGGGTTTCTAAACTGGCAAAAAGTGTGAATAAAAGTGTGAAAAAAGACCAGAAGCTGTTGCCTTTCCCATGAAATGAAGAACATGGCACTCTGAAGGGCGGGCACACRCAGGGCACTGCCAGCAAACCTGGGGCAAACCTGGGACAAAAGGGGATGTTTTTCTGAGAGGTGACACAGCTCAATGCATTTCTGGCATCAGTAAAGTCCTGAGGAAAGGACCCGGAGCAGAGAACACYCTGGCTGTGCTTTATGAACTTTATGAACCATTTGGTCAGTGATAATTAATTCCATTTRGCATTCACAAACTCGGGGATTGGCAATGTTTTCTGGTTTCCACCAGCTCCTGCTTTCAAAGATGGAACTTGGTCTTTGTTGGCTTGTTTCACCTTACGTAAAAAGGTAAATCCCCCTGTGCCAAAACAGATTAAAATGAAAGCACAAAACCCTTGATAACTGACCCTACTATTTGAAAAATCCCAGTGCCAAAGGACAGAACCTTTTCTGYTATATTTCCTGTGCTATGCCATGTTTTTCACCCCTTAGAGCCATTCTCTGTCCCTGCCATGCCCAGTGCTGAATATCCCCATCTTAACTCTGCCTGGGTAACCTWAACTCAGCCTCCTTGGGGCAGCTCTAGGGCACAATCCCCATTTCCAGGAGCATTTTCTCTGYTCAGGAGATGGATTGAGCTGGCCAAACACAGGATGCTGCTGTCAGGAGGATCCTTCCCTGCTTTGTTTTCGTGATTGTGGCTCATGCAGTGAAAGCAGGATAAGGAAGAAAGRAGGGGGATGTGCTGTAGTGCAGACAACAGAGCCCTRCTCTGGAGAATGAGCTCCTTTTCAYGTTCCTGCTGTAAAGTTTCTATGGGATGTCATGTCCATAAATCACTTCAAGCACCCTTTTCTCATGTGTTCCTTAACTTGGCTATGCTCTAATGGGTGTCCAGAGTGAGGCACAAAGCTGCTGAGCACTCTCTGTTGCACATAAAGTGAATTAAAGTCACTTTTGAACAATTGAAAACCCCACAGTTTAACAAACCAACCTCAAATCGAAAATCCCAAGAAGAGTGAAAGCCCCTCATTTCAGTCTCAATATAAATGTCTCTGTCAGTGAGATGGGGCCGTGCCATACCCTGAAAATAAAATAACTCAGGTTTCTGAAGCACCTGGCCAGTGCACAAAGAAGTCCCTTTGCAAGGCTGAGCCATTTTTCGTGATGATCCAGCCCTATGCAGTGAATTTACAGGGCCAAGCAAGGAGTGAAAGAGATAAAACCAAATATTGCATAACTGTCCTGAGATGAGCTCAGCTGGGGCTGTGTCTGAGCAAAGCAGAGAGCTCGGGGAAAACCTGCTGTGTGTGGATGTTGGTGATTTCCACAATGCATGGGATAAACCAGAATGGGGCTCACCTGAAGGAATATCTCTCAGTTCCAGAGGTTTCTCTAATTTGTCTCTCCCTTCTGTACCTTCCCATGCTCCCTGGGTGTATTTTGTACAAGCTACAATGCAGCTGTTATAAAATAAAATGCTCCTGTGGATGCAGGAAGAATCTCCCATGAACTGGCACTGCCATGAGCTCTCAGACAYGACAAACAACTGAATAATTCCGAAGGTGTAAAACTGTTCCATGTCTGGGCTACCTGGGGCAATCAGGCAGCTATTTCAAGCCTGATCCTCCTGAAGATATGGAGGGCTTTTTAAAAAGAGTAAATATATTCCATTGTCATCTGAGAAGGTTCATTTTACATCTCGGGCTGATGGGCATTCGTGTGGGTGAAGCAGCTCACACGTCCTCCCTTCTCTTCCTTCCTCTAAATCACATYTCCCAGATTTGTTTGTGGCACCAGATGGTTGTGGCACTGCTCAGGTGACAGTCTGGGCTTTCTGTGCAAGGGCTGAGCTGAAAGAGCTGCCACACCCGAGGGTCTCCATACAAGCAGGGACAAGAGCAGAGCACCAGGAGGATCCTTCCAGGAAATCAAATGAAAATATTGGTCATGGGTGTGTCCATGGCCTTTCCCACAGCCCACACAGCTCTGTTTGCTTCCTTGAGTATTCCTGCCAAAATCATTTCACATTGAATCCCAAGCCCTGAATGGAATCTCTATCCCAGGGCTGTAGCATCATAAATATCCATGTTTTTTTTTTGCTTCTCACTCTTAACAGTGAGATTGAACACCAAAACTCAAACAATCCTTAACTCCAGAGTGGTTCATGACAATCCCATCATTTAGCCCTGCCTGAGAATATGGGAGAGCTCCCAGGCCAGTTAAAGGCTGGGCTTGCTCTTTAAAACATGATGTCCCAAGTGTTGGCAGTCATTTATTCCCCATTTTGTTATCAGAGGATGAGCAATCACTTCAGGTTCTCTTTTAATTTAATTTATTCATCACTTTTTGATGAATCTCAGCAGTGTTTGTATTTCAAAAAGCAGTTTGCCTTCGGTTTCAATAAGAGTTTTAAAATAAAGCATTGGCTGTCAGGAGATAATAAATGAAATTTCCAGGTTGGGGCGTAGAATAGTGGCAGAATTTTATCACAAATGCCTGGATAAATCAACCTGTYGCCCAATGGGTTTAGGAGTGGCAGGATGGTAAAAAAACATCAAA